ACTCTGCCTATATGAATTTGTTACATTGGAACATAAAAGAATCTCCATGTTCATGAAATATCAGCATTGTTACGAGAGAGGCCGATTTTCACTTCAATCAAAAAAAAAAAGCTGCGGTTGCTAGAAAAATTCAGGTCTGGCAGCATTTGTGTGGAGAGAAAGCCAAAGTTAATACTTCAGACCTAGTAACCCCTCCTCCTCCATTTTAATCAAATTTATATAACAAAGAATACAATGCACCACCTCGTTTGAATTTTATAGGTCTGCAAGATACTATAAATCTGTTATTACAAACTTGTATTATTACTTAATCAAGTTTCTGATTTCTGATAGCATAGTTTTTCTATGAACCGCAAGAATACTTCTATAGCATTTCAATACCTGTTATGTAAATGGATTACAAAAAATAGTCCATTATGCACCTTTTGGCTGTTGCGCACTAAGATCCTTACATTGTGTTTCTGTTCCCTTTGCATACCCAGAGGCCATAGTACAGATGGTAAACTTGTGTGTTGACATTTAATGTCATACAAAAGGATAGCCTTCTCTAGCAAGAACTTCCAGGCCCCCACTACGTTGATGCTTTTTCCACTGCTGTGTGGAACATTCGAGATATTCATTTATCAATGCTGTATTTATTTGTATCTTCGTACTGTGTGTAGTTTGCCTGCCGTTATCAAATCTTTATTTGTGCCACAATAATATCTGGCTAATATATATTTTCGGCCAACATAATGTTTTCATGCTATCAAAGTTTACCTGTTCTGAAAGGGTGGTAACACTAGTCCATACAATTTAAATAGTTTGCGCCAGTTTTATTCAGCATTTTTTTTTATTAAAAGAAACCTCTCCTACCCAATCTTTGCTAACTGAATATTGACCTGACTAATCTGCCACTCCCAATGAAGGCACTGAGAATAATCCTTAAATTACAAGGGCCCCAATTATTTGATGCTGTTGATTTCTATATAATCCATAAATTTTGGCTATTTACACTCTGATTTCAGATTTATTTCCTCGATTGTATCCTCCTCGTTGTAATTCCAGGAGGTAATGCACCCTTTGAGGCTCTCCAACAACAGCCTGTCAATCCCCTAATTATAGAATTCCCTCTTAGCTAGCACTCACCTATTCTGACAGTGAGTGTCTTCTTTCTTTCCCTGGTAATCCCTACAACTGTGGTTCTAGAATGTTGCTTTATATTTCCTGCATTATAAGTGAATTCATTTTGGAGACAGAAGTAGTACTTTCAGGGTGTTATGACAAAGGTTAGAGATTGTGCTGTTGTTCTGTAGTGCCACACTCCATTGGTCCCTAAATATATTTAAATA